AGTACTGTGATCCTGTGAAATATCCCCTGCTGTTTAGTGTTAGAGATTCATTTGTGACAGTTCCAGACAATATTTCCAGATCTGGAGGGGTGGGTTGCTGGCAGTGTTTTCTGATGTCACCTGACAGGCGAGTGTCAGTATGCTACAGCTGGCTTAGAGGGGATGCTGGAGGTGTTCGGTGTGAGCTGACACTCACTAGCCACTCACTGGCCACATGGGCTTTCCAGGGACCTGTGTATGTCTTGGGAGACTACAACGGACCTAATTAGTATGTGCTGGCAAGCTGTGATGGTTACTTTGATTTCATCAAGTGATCTAAGCAATGACAGATTGGACATCCAAAGAGACTTGGTTTTGCTGATAAATCACTTCCATTGGCAAATGCATGTCCTAATTTAAAGATAAATTACCTTTTATGTTCCTTTAGGGAACTCAGCAAGTGTTGTATGGCAACCCTGGCTGTGCCCTTTTTAGGTTGTAAGCATGGATCCAAACTAGTGTTTTCTGGCAGGGGCAGGACCCTAGGGGTGTTGGTGGGAGCCCCAGGGGAGTTTCTGCTGCTTGCTTGGCGGTGGAGTTCTCCAAATCCAACGTCTTTTGTCTCTTTTCAATGTTTTAGGCAGCAACTGGCGTGAGATGGGTTTGCTGTCAGCTGTAGGACTCTTCCATCTGGGCTCTGCCATGCTGTTGCCTCGCGAGCAGAACGATGTCACGTGAATTCTGGAGATAAAGAAGTAATTATTTCTTACTGTACAAATGTTGAGGAGAAGCCACCTGAAATCTAGATCTCTGAAGCTGGTCTGTGGCTTGCAGATTCTCTTACAGGTGGAACAAGGAGAAATATGATTGCACATAGGGTTCAGAGGTTGAAATTCTAACCAAAGGTATCGTGACAGCTATAAAGCCTCTAAGACTTGCTCCCCAGAACAAAGCAGGTGCAGTCCAAGAATCCTGAAGGAACTGGAGGGGAGTGGTTTCTCATAGTGTTTGAGGATCTCATTTTTACTGGGGAGAGAAAGGAGATGTCTAACAGATGGAAGTGAGCGACTCAAGCGAGGAACAGCATGTTCCAGTGACGACCCCAGATGTATCCCAAAGGGGAGTGCGGCTGAGGCAGTGACCCTCACCTGCAGGAAGGTCAGTGGCGCCTGGGGCTCAGGCATAACCACAGGGGGGGATGGGTGTTCCAGGACCCAGAGAGCTTCCCTCGGTCAGGGCTGTGCTGAATCTGCTCTGTGCCAGACACTCAGACCCAGGGTTCTGCGTTGACGTGTAGCAGCGTGTCTTTTGAGGCCAGCCCTGCACGTCCCCTGGGGTTTGTAAGCTGGGCAGGACACCGGGCTCGTCCCTGCTGGCTGGCACGGGGATGATGACTCTTTGCCGTTTACCCAGCTGACCTTGGTGATGAGCAGTGTCTATCTGATGTGCCAGCTCAGCAGTAGGGTTGTCTAGTTTAACTTGCTCCTGTCACACCTGATGTTATTTATTCTCTCCAAGGTGCTGTGGCATCAGCTGACCTTCCCCACTGCCTGAACCACCAGCAGCCTCCAGTTGCTTCCACAGGGGTGGCTGTTGAATAAGGTTAGTTGGGTTTTTACTGCCACACTCCAGTAAGCTCTGTGACTAGCTGGTGAAGGCCTGTGCTAGCCACCCTGCTCAGCTGGGCCTTCTCAGTCAGGGACTCTTCTGGGCTACACAGACCTCGCTGTCCTTTACTTGTGCTGCTGCTGTTCATCTTTTTTTTTTTTTACTTAACAGGAGAAACTGGGGAGAGGTAAGGATAAAAAAACCCTGCTCTTCCAGCACAGACGTGTTTGGGTGTTTTTCTAAGCATACACATTCCTTCATGTGGCTTATCAAAAATAGTGCTTTGTAAAGAATTCTGTTACAGTCATTTTGCTGGCATAATGATGAAATCTTTGCCGTTTACCCATCTGATTGGTTTTTGATGTGTACCTTTGAATCTGAAATGCCAGTAAAGGAAATAATGTTCTATCAGGTTGATCAAGGATACAGAAAACTGACTGTTTTGACTTTTTTTTTTTTTTGCTATTAGCTTGAAAGCAGCCGCCTGAAATGTGGAGTTCTAATTTGCCCTTCCTGCTCCTCAGAAATCCTGCTGCCTTCAATATAAGTCAAGGGGAGTAGCTCTGGTGAAAATGTGGCAAAAGTTCTTCAATGGAGTTCAGGTGAGACCATCACTTTAGGAAGGGACAGTCTTAGACTTGACTATGAATATTTAAGGGTATCAAAAAAATCGGTCAGAACTGAAGTTAAACCATGTAGGACAGCTTGTGTGAATGAGAGTGCTCACAGCATTCATGGTGATAGCTGTTCTGCTTATCTCCAAGGCAGTGTGTGTATGAATAAAATCTGGGGTTTCTGCTTCCATACCAGGTCATCTGGTATGGTTTTTTATTTTCCCCATTTCCCTGTAGGGTTCTGCTGTCCCCTGCAGTCTAGCTAAAGTCATGTGGAAATACTGTTTTTTTTTTTTTCAGCTGGTAGGAGCACACTGGCCTCCTGCTCTAATACTATGTTGCTGTGACATGAAAGTAAGACACAGAACACCAAGCAGCATGGTGATGCTTTATGTACCTTAAAGTTTATAGTGCATGAGTAATTTAAGAAAGTTGGCTTACACTAAGAATATGGAGTTTTAACATATTTAAAGTTACACACCCCTTGTGGGTGATACATTTGAAAAGAAGCAACCAGAAAAACGGTGCCACTGAAATGAAACATTAGATTCTAAACTCTCAGTGTAACTGTTAATTGCAGTCTTAGTTAAAACGCTGCTTCACTCCTCAGGTAGCAGTGGATGAACTTGGCAGCTGGGAAGGGAAGCTCAGGCTGTGGCTTTATTCAGAAGCTGCAGCCCCCTGGGATGAAGACATCGCTCCTACTTTCAAACAACAGTTGCCAAACTTGTCATCGAATCCTGTCAGCTATGCTTTATTGGTCAGCAGCACAGCACCGAGCTGTCCTACAGAAACACTGAAGCCTTTATTAGCTGTAGGTCTCTACCTGCAGGCTCTCAAACCCCTGGAGCTCCAGGCTTTCCTGGCGGAGCAGAGCCCTCACTCCTGGCTCGTGCCGAGGTGGGCTGCTGGCCGTAGGCAGCAATGAAGGCCCGCAGCTGGCGGAGGCTCTGCAGGAGGTGACTGTCCCTCTGGCACAGGGAGCGCTCGTCGCTGAGGTCGAACGGAAACACGGGGTTCAGCGCCACGCACAACGCGGACTTGCCTGAGCAGAGGAGAAGGGGACGTGCTGAGAGGCTTGGGAGGAGAAGGGCTGTGGCAGAAGTTACGAGTCACGCCTGTTACCGTTGGTGCCCGTTCGATGGGAACTGGCATCTCGCTGCCAGCCTGGGGTGTGAACAAAGGTGGCACGAGATACACAGGAAACGCCCCAGCCCTTGTCTCCTGCTCCACAGGCAGTGAGGGCTGCGTGGAGTTCAGTGAGCCAGCGGAAGGGCAGGAGCCTTGGGGCTGGCCCGTGGGACCATGGCTCCACTTTCGTCTGTCGTGCCTCCCCAGTGCAGGTCCTGCACTCTGACTGGAGACGTGCTAGCTGTTACTGCAGTCAGTCAGCAGCAGCCTCTTTCAGACTGACAGAACAAACCTGTGCACCCAAGGGTACAGGCTAAATTGAGTAGTGCGATTTACCGTGTTTTAGGGTAAGAGATGTCTCCAGGAGCAAGATAGCAATCAGTGAATCTTCCTCAAGAACCTTCCTTCTTAAACTGAGTTTAGCATGAGCCTTAGACAGCGAAATCCTAAGAGATGAATATAAGCACAACAGAAACAAGTACTGCAGATGCCAGTGCCCTGTTGGAAGCCGTTCTGGAAATCACAGGTCCACGCTGCAGTGAGTTTTTTTCCATACCTGAGCTGTGTGAACTTCCCCCCAATACTGTGCAGCGATACTTGTCCCTGACAGCACATGTTGTCATGCACAAAAGGAGTGCAGTGTGACACACTACTGTCGATACTTACTTTGCTTGCATAATACAAAGCTATGATAATTTAAATCCCTTTTTTTGTTTTCTAGAGAGCTTTAATAGTAATTATTTCTTAAATCACTGGGGTTTGGCTCAGCAAAGTTCTTTAAACTTTTTCTTTCAAGATCAATATAAAAAAAATACAATTTATTAATAGTATTTAAGATTCTTTACACTTGAACTTTTTAAAACTTGACAAATCTCATCTCTAGCTTTTTATTTAAGAAGTTCTTGTGCAGGTTAGCACAATTTCCACTCAACATAGATGTGTTTACTATGAGAAGCAGGACGTACAGAACTTTGAGTGTGGATGCTGACAGTGTTGATCCATGGACAGAATCTCTTCTCACTCGGCGACTTGCCAGGTAGTAGCCCTGAATGAGGTTTTCTGCTTCTGCACTCACTTCAACGTGAAGATTCTTAGCAAACAAAATAAACTAGAGAGAACATTTAAAATATTTAACTGCAAAATGAAGAATTTACATTTTTCATACCTTTTAAGGTACCAGCAGCACATTAATACAGTTTGGCCAATACATTCTAGCACTAGTTTTTATAAAGGCAGCCGTCACCCTTGAGCTACCTGTAAGGATAGCTCTGGGATACTAACTGCAATCATCTCAATTATACTAAAGACACTGACAGTTTATTTAGAAGAGAATATTAACTTTTACTACTGATTGTAAACTGTCTGGTCAGAATTAGGCATTGGAGATCCCTCATATGAATGTTAACCTAGTATGTTTTTCAGAAAACATACTGAAAAAAAACCACTCAGTAAACATTCAGAAATAAAACAACTTATTATGCTGCCCCTTTTACAGAGCTGGGGATATGGTCAGAGGGAGGTGTAGAAAGTATTAACAAGTTTAAAAATCAGCAGAGTGTGCAGAGAGAACCTTCTGATTCCAGAAGTGTGATGGCATTCCCAAGATAATGCATCTCTAAATGGGTGGGTGGTGTCTGTTACCTCCTCATAATCCTCTGTTCTGAACTGCTGAGAGACTTTGTAAAGCATGGCCTCGGGATTAATGGCCTTTTTCAAGGTATGATGCACCAGAGGAGAAGACAGTCTGCAGGAAGGAAACTGATCGTAGATCAAAAGCCCAAAAACATCTACAAGGTTAGGTGGAATCAGACTCATGTCCTAAAGAGAAGACCCAGAGAAAGAAAATCAATATTTTGGCCTTTTGACTTGTAGAAACACAGCAGCTTCTTCCTTCTGTACTGTTCAGTAGCTGTATGCACTGAGTCCTGCAAGATTAGCTGATGAATTACCTGTAACAGATACAGTAAAATTTTGTTTCAATAGTAGTTGTCTAAAGCTATTAGGAATAAATCAACACCTACTTTTGGGGAAGCTACCTTATTTTAGAAGATACTTGATTTAAAGTCACTTAAGTTTTGACTTTCTGGGAAATACTAACAATTTGATTGCTTTCATTATAAGTCAAAATAACCACAAACACAAGTGACTGCAACAGCACGGTTACTGTCCTAGCAAGGTGGGTGCATTACCAGCTGTCCAATTAAAAAGTTATCCTTTTGTACATGTTTCTTTGAGGCAGAATCCACGTCTACAAAAGACCAGAAGTTGGTCTGAAGGGAAATAGTAATTTGCTGGTCAGCCTCTTCTCCATACTTCTTCCCCGGAATGAATACTGTGGCTGTTCTGCTCTCCAGCACTAGGACAGGACAAAACACATCAGCTATGTCATCAGTGTAATTTAACCATAAATTCTAGTCCCACACACACTCTCTGAAAGCAGTGAGGATTAGGTATGGGACTGAATTGTCATGGCCAGGGGCTCTGCAGTGTAGCTAATGTCACCTTACAGGCCCTTAAGGGGCTTTTTTGTCCCCGTTTCTTACACAGACACATTAAAACTTGCTTCTAGATTCTCACAGCACTTGAGGGCCAGGAGCCAGGGAACACACCCAGCTGTGAATCGGCGCGTTTGCTTTGCCCTGTGCCCTCGCTCGTTGGCAGGAATGGGGTTACCGGACTGCAGAAGGTCGAGTTTATCCTTTCTGTAGGAGGACAGGTCTCCCAGGTAGCAGACCCCGCCCCGGGCCAGCGCGGCGCTGCAGGCGTGAACGCTGGCGCCGCCGCCGGGCTTGTCTCTGGATACAGACGGAAACATGTCGCCACAAGGTGGGTGTCGCACCCCACGGGGCAGAAGACACGTGCTGTAATTCAGAAGCCTGGAGGATTAAATCTGTCAGTCACAAATTGTTACATTATTGCTCAGTTTTTCAAAATTGGAACAACTTGCTACTATATAATGGCTTTTTTTGTATACCGAGACTCAGAAACAGCAAAAAAATCCCCTTAAGGTAAAACCGGTGTCAAACCCAACTGTAAATATCAGAGAACACAAAGGTGGGTGCCCGAGCCCACCAAACGGTACTTTGCAACAAAATCCACTCCTAGGGCGTCAAACAAGTCTGCTAATTTAACCCTGTGTTGTCAACCCCTACACCTATTCCTGAGGAACTCTCCCGGTGGTTTCAAAGGGCAGAGGCTGTGTAAACCCTGCCGGGGTGGGGCAGACGAGCAGGCTGCGTGCCCCCCTCCCCCCGGCCTTGCTGAGACAGCAGGAGTGGAATCTCATTTTTGCCCCTGTGCTGTACAGTGATGTAGGAAATCTCTTTGACAGGCTACTGACAACAAAATACCACGTGCCAGCCAGGACCAATGACAGCACTGGCCAAGATGGACAGTGCACAGCTCTTTAACTATTAACCAGATCTTTTAATTCTTAAAACACTCGAGCTCTTACAATTTATTTTATGAAATCCTACTCTTAACCTGGGAAAAAAAATCCTGCAGCCCACATTTGTGTTTTATTTTTCAAATTTGAACTAGTTTCTACAGCTAAATTTTGAAGCTGTAAAAGTATATTTTTTTTTCCACAACAAAAAAATACTAATGAGTTTGTTGAAGAACTCTCAAATGAAAATAAAATTCATGCCACTTTCAAAGACCTTTTTAAAAAATATAATGGGGGAGGAGAAAGTAACTGTTAATGTAAATTTAAAGCTGAGTATGTTATACTTCCCTGCAGCATGTGTGAATAGTTGGGTGAAGGGGTAAATACATAAAATGTGTAAATACAGAAAATCATTTTGCTGAAGGCAACAACAACTGGATTATGGCCTATGTGTAAAGACATACATAACTTCTGATACCTTACCCATACAGTGTTTATGAAAAAGAATGATGAAACTGTGTTTACACTGCTTATTGACTGAAAAGGCCGATAGCTGGGACGTGGTGACAAAAAGGCTTAAAGTGACACAAGATTTGGAAAGTAAAGCCCTTTGCTTTTATCATTAGCAGCTTCTGGGACAGTCTTTAGCTCTGAATTTGGACGAATGTTTTGTTTGAGCTCTGCTAAAGAGCATTGGTGTTAAAATCCTACTGAGATCACTACCCGAGTGTTAAGGGGTTTTATTACTAGTGAAGTTCTGATCTAGGTTTATCACTTGAAATAAATAAAAAAGTCCCAGGGATAAAAATTGGGTATTTTTTCTACATGAGAGCCCTGTATATTCTTTTAAAACATAGTGCCTAGCATTTCATGTAAGACTCATCCTATTAACTTTAAAAACACTCATGTTTTTAATTCTAATTTACGTGAAAAATTAGGAATCTCTTTACCTGTCCATCACTAGCGTGTCGCTGGTCACAACCAACAGATCCAGGTAATCTTTCTCCTCTTCACATGTCTGCACCAGGCTCAGCAGTATCGCCAGTTTAAGAGTGTTCCAGGTGCCTGGTGGAACCACCTGAGAAGCGAAGATGTTGGCGAGGACAGCAGTAAACCTCCAGCAGGAACTCCAGGTCAGCGAGAGCAGGTGCTTAAAGTTCTCACCAACAGAAGAAGGACCTGATGAGAACAGAGCAGAGCTCACCAAGCACTTCAGGAGAGAGCTCTGCAAGTGTGTTAGAGCAAGTCACTCTTCTAGTCCTGATACAAAACTTATGAAGAGTGAATGTGTTAAGCACAAATTCAGAATGTAAAGATCTGACACTAATTTTACTACTAGAGAGGCAACAGACAGGATCTGCTAAAACTGATGGTGCAAGAAAGGAATAAACTGAAATACCAGATTCATTTAATGTCTGATTTCAAAGTACCCACCAAAGGACAGGAAAAGTTGGAAATAGAAGCTGAAGAACCACAGTAAATAATTTTGTGATTTCTCAGTGCAAGAAAGTGGGCAACAGAAAATATCCCTGGTCACAGCAAGTAACACATTTCAGGCTGCAAGAGGGAAATCCCTGTTCTGGACCTCTGGATGATAGAAAAAACTGTACCAGTTCTATAGAACTTGCTCTAGAAGGTTCTGCAGCATTTTCAGTCAAGTTTTAATGAAACTTTCTTACCATTTGGTCTACAGAGCTGTACACTGTTGGCTTCTATACAGGCTGTAGCTTGTAAGCCATTCTGCACACAAGCTGGAATTCCTATAATCTTGTAGTGGTTTCCTATTTTCATTTTGTTTGCCAGTTCATCTGGAAATTAAAAAAAAAAAAAGGGGGCGGGGGGAAGCCATTAGTGAGAGGAACCTGCAGATGTGTTAGGAAAAAGGGGGGGGTGTGAAGTCATTAGTGAGAGGAACCTGCAGATGTGTTAGGGCATAAAGCCAGTTTTAAAGACATGGCCATAAACCTTTTCTTCACATTCTGAATGGTTGTATTTTATGATTTAATTGGAGAAAATGACAGCTGGATGGAAGGTTCACCAGAATGTACTAGAATAAAATGAAGCATAACTCACAGTACCTTACCCTCAGATTCTCCTTTTATAATTCTATTATTTTAATTATATTATTACTCGTTTGTTTAGTTTTCAAGATATGAACCATATAATTCCATAGACTTTTGGAATGGCCTTTTTCTTTCATTTAAGAGAATGGAAGTATGTTGTTGAGTTGTGACTTTAGCTGGATATTCACATCAGAAACCATGCAAAGAGCAGTGGAAGGTAGTGAGAGAAGCCAAAACTCCCGACGGCAGGCAGCAGGAGCTGGGCTGCGGGAGGATGTTTCCAGTGCAGGAAGCCAGCACAGAGCAGCGTGGCCAGAGGAAGTGGAAAGGAGGGAAAACAAGCTGCCCTCAGAGCAGGGCACCGCAGAGCTGGCCGGGGGCATCTCAACCAAGGCACAAGAGTGCAGACAACAGCTTTGCCACGGGCTCTCTCCAGTCACCTGTGGATGCTGTTTAGTCACCTAGATGATTTTATGTACTTTCCCCCCCTTGATTTTATCCAAGGACTGCAATGTAAATTACAGCTTCCACTATTTTATCCAGAAAAAAAGGACTTAAGGAAAATGCAAGGGATTGTTATAGTTAATTCTAAAACATTTTTGACAAAACGCCAAAATTCAGCTTACCTCTCAAGAAAACTGTGAATGTCTGAATCCTAAAATGTGATTTAGCATTGGCATATCCTTTCAAAGCGTTAAGAACTTTTGCATCAATCATTTCAACTATTTGTTTATCTTCCAAAGTAAAGGCAAAGAAAAGGTTAGTTTGTTTGAAAACAGTACCACCTCTTTTTTTTTAAAATGATGTGTACTTTGGTTTTTTTCCTATGTAACCATTTTCTGTACTTACTTATTATGAAACAGAAGTAGGGAAATAATAGATTTAAAAATAAAACTGTGTAGGTCCTACCACCAAGGACTCTAAATTTCATGTCTTCCTGCAGTGGCGAAGAACACAAACAACACACAAAATCATTCCTCACTGTGGCAGATTCTGTAGCTCCAGGCAGATGCACTCTTATGTACCTAAACCCTAAAAAAATAGTGGAAAAATAATAATTTACCAAACATTTAAAATTAAGACATGTCTTTCATTTTAGATATTCCTTTAAGAAGGGATTGAAATACTGGGACAGCGCAATTCCAATGTATCCCGTGTTCCTTCAGCTGTGAATCCGTTCCTACACGAGGCTGCCACTGAAATGACCTGTGTACTTCATTGCAGGGCCACCAGCAGGCGGCCGAACGTCCCAGCACACGTCTCCGAGCGGGACACTGGGGGTGGCCTCCCGAGCAGCCGGAGCCTGCCGCTGCTGCCCGGCCTGGAGGTGACACGGGATGCTGGATACTCATCATCAGAGGTACGTGCCCTCACAAAGACATCGTTCAGGTTAATTTTGCAGTCCCCTAGCTTTGGAAGTTTGCTTCTCTTTTGTAATTTTATGGTGTCTGTTAAAGGAAGAAGCAAACAAAACAGACTTGAAGGTACAGATTCAAGCAGTTCAGATTCAAGCAGTTCAGTAACGTTACTCAGAGAAGTAGTTCCATAGAAGTCAGCTGCTCATTAAAGCAAACCTGTGCTACTAGAGGATTTTACCAGTCACTTAAACATACTATTAGGCAGGACTTTTATATAAACAGAAACAGTTTCCAGGAGAAAAAAAAAAAAAAAAAGGTAGTATTCTCCTAGTTTAGCTTTTTTTCTTTCAATTTGTTATACTATATTGGCAACATATCTTTGTCTCATGGCGTAGCTATGCTCCCAAAACGTTTCTAATGCCGAGCAGCCACTGGCATGGCCTGCTGCTTCCCATTAATAAAAACTGTGCTGCAGGCATTACAAAAATAATAAGACTGCATAGGAAAATGCCTCTGAAATCTCTGTTATCAAAATTACTAAAAAGCTTTTAAAATAGTATGGATTTATTAATTTTTTTTCACTACCTTCAGAAAACGGACAGGTTTCCTCAGTACAAAGAAATCTGGCTCCTTGTGTATATTTTGTCACTGTTCCCACTGCAAGCACTATTCCTTCAGTCATATAAAATCTTGGAGATGTGTAATTAAAGGGAAACGCAGACAGACTCAGAACATAACTTGGTAAAGGTGGTAAATGTGTTGGTTTCAGCAGTATGCTTATCTAACAAGAGACACAAGTGCATCAATACTGTAAAAACACACATTGCTTATATAGACAAAGACACAATGTGATATATAGATATTAGAAAAAAAAATCAGAAATGCATGAAGTGTAAGAGTAATTAGACTTCATCTTATCTCAGATTTCTTGCCATGTGGTTAGATGAGACTTCCAGCTCTTCAATTATAAATAATATTACAACCAAGGGGAAAGGAAGAATTGAAAAGTTAATAGAAAATTATTATTGGTTAATATTTCACCAGACTTAAAAGATTTAAGATCTAAATTGAGAGAAAAAAATGCAGACTCACCTGGGCCTCTGTCTGCAATTGTTCAATTAATGATAATGTCTTAATAGCTATGAAACATACCTGCGATTAAAAAATAATTTTGTTTTGGAAAGGCAAACCTAGTTAAAATACAGAAGATGAACTTTCATCTGCTCTTGTCTACAGCTGTATACTTACTGACTGAAAAATCTGTGCAGCTTGTATGGGCTTATGAAGAATGTAGTTTCCAAGAGTTGCATCTAATTCAGCAATATCAGAAGGATTTATTGAAATAATGAAACGATAAACAGCGTAACTTTGTTTTGAGTCTGTAGGAGCAAAAAGCACCTTAAATAAAAATAACAGATTTGTGCACCATTACCTATCAATTCAACAGAATGTCTATTGAGCAAGTAATACCATTATATACTTTGCAATCGTGCACAAATTTCTGAAGACCACCACTTCTGTCCAGGTAGACAAGAGCAATTTCCCTCATTTTCTGTATTTCACGATGCATCTTCCAAGGAAGATCTTTGCACTCTATTAAAATGTTGACATAAACTGTGAAGAAATGATCCTAGAACAGGCCATGCTACAATAATAATGAAGATCTGTATTAACAAAGCCATATGAAATTTTCAAGCTATGCAATTCTTTGAGGATTTTTAAAATACCATTATTCCATGGAAAGTTCTTTCCAAAGGCTGACACCTACTGCGTTCCCAAAGTCAACTCCTGAAGAATGCTGTAGTGTTTCCTCAGGGAGTTATTTTGCCGCCCAATTCCCTAACCCATGAAATCAAAGCTTGCATTTAATTTTACCTCCACTATACATTGTGTAGGCATAGTCAGCCTATCAAAGGTATTTCCCTGATCTGAGAAGTCTGTCATAGTTGTTCAAGGTGTGGAACCAGAGAGAGAATTACTGGGCTGCTGAGGAAGCAAAGCTCACAGCATATGAAAGATCCCCTGTAGGAGCTTGCAGAACTCTTAAGTGCCACATCTACCCATCTCTGAAACCCCTCCAGGGATGGGGACTCCACCACTGTCCTGGGCAGCCTGGGACAGGCCTGGACAACCCTTGTGGGGAAGCAATTGTTCCTCATGTCCAACCTAAACCCCTCCTCGCACAGCTGGAGGCCATTTCTGCTTGTCCTGTCGCATTTTCCTTGGGAGCAGAGACCAACCCCCC